AAATTATTTTCTCAATTTTTACTGAAATAAGAAAATGAGCAAGACTTTTATCCACTCTCCCCCACCTCCATGCAAGGAAATAGAGTTGTGCTTGACTTGCATCCTCTTGTTTCCATAGTTTCCCAAGTTTTAGTCATTAATTATGTTCCTTTTGTATTGAAAAATCCTAAGGACCTTTCAAATAGACTAAATATTTTGGATGCTATGAAGACAACAGCAAAGCAAATTATCTTTTCAACTGCAAGACAATATAATTTGAAATTGTGTATATCAATACTTTCCAAGTTTGCTCCATTGCTGTGACTGTTATTACACTTCAAAAAAGAAATATAGAAGCTAAGGCATTTCACATGTTAAACACATGAGAAAAAAAATGTTACAAAGACTGAAGAGCTGTTCCAACAGTAATATGTAGCTATTTGAAAAAACTACAGAAAGAAGAAACAATTATTGTAGGTCCTCTCTGAAGTGTAAACTCCCTTTTGTGGTTTTTATGGATTCTACAAAGTGTTGGCAGATGAACAGTGTAATAAAAAACATTACTGTTCCCAGTTGTCTGCTCTGCCCCTCTTCCAAGTGTCTAACCCACTACCCCTGAGCAGTCAGAAAAAGAGACATCAGCTGCTTCTGTGAAAAAAGGGGAAAAAAAAAAAAAAAGGCCTTTTAGTATAAGCCTGACTGTCATCTGTTTAACTGAAGACGGTGGGCTGCACATTCATGTTGCTTAGGTGTGGGGATACTGTCCCTTGCAAAGGACAACGGTGGGGTGGAAATTCTTACCCCGCTACAGCAAGGCTTGTTACACTGTCAGCAGCTCCCAGTTACGCACCAAGTTAGTCCCGACTGTGTCATTTAGTTCAACTGTTTGGGTGGTAATTACAGAAGAATTTGGGTATGCTACTGGTTGTTCTGAAAACTTTGACTATGGAAAATGAGGCTTTTCTAAAACAAATCATAGTTTTACATGATGAAACTACCTTTGTAAGTACATTCTGTGCACATAAGAAGGCTAGTTTTCACCTGTTTCCAAAGGTGAATAAATTTACTTTTAATGAATTGTAAGAAAAAATTAATAGCATTAAAAATTCCATTTAGCTAATTTTGCAGACAGAAAACAGCATAAGTGTCTAAGTGTTATCAAATGTTTTCAATTTACTCTTGGCACAATTATTTCCATGCTTGAATTGGGAACTGAACAGATGCCAAACCAAGGAAGTAAGTGCATGGAAAGCAAACTGTTGAAACTATAAAGAGATTAAATAATGTTTCTGAAAATTGTATTTCTATTTGGAGACCTGATTAAGGTTCTGGAGCATCACTTTGGTAGGCAGCTAAGAGCATAAAGCCAAAACAGTGTAACTCAATCTGTGTACAGCACTTACACATAGCTTTTTATTTTATAGGGGACATCTGAAATTTGACAGTTTAGGTGAGCATATACTTTAACTTGTTTAGCTTCCTTAGTTGCTGAAACAAGACAGGTATTTAAACAAATGTTTTGATTAATAACCAATTATATCAGCATTTCATAATTATTCTAATTAAAATGACAACGTGTTTGTAATAAGCAAGGCAACACTCAGGTAAGCTTATCCTTAATGCGTGTTCCATACTGGACTGATGTGTGGCTGGCATTTTTACTGTTACGGTTTTGCCTCTTTTGTGTTTTTGTGGTCTAGAAAATCTTCAGAGATTTCCCCAAGTGCGTATAAAATTATAGAGAAAAGCATATTGGTATCATTTGCACAATGAGCTTGAAGTCTTCTACTAAAACAGATCAGCTTCTCTGCTCTCTGTATTTATGGATTCTGTTCCATGCTGCAGTCATTCCACCAAGGTCCGATCCCCACAAAGGCTCTCTGAGTTCATAAATCTCTGTGCAGTCACTGCAGGGGGACTGGAGTTGTGACACGAGATGCTACTACATTTCTCTGTAATAGTATGGTTTTAGGGGCAATGTTTTTGACGGTGTTTCTCGAGATTGCATCATTTTATTATAAGCATATATATTTTGCTGTTTCCAGTTAACATCAGAACAAATTTGTGATTCTAACCTGTATTTTATGCAAGGTATATTGCTTGTATTTACCCCCTTTTTTTCAAAGACTTTTTTTGTTCTGAAGCATTTTTGGTGGTTCTTATTTTGTCTGTGTCTTGCTCACAAGCGTCTGTCTGTGGTCTATGCACCAGTGTCCAGAGGATGGATTAAAGTAAAAAGAAGTAGAAAGGAAGACGTACTGAAATTTGGTTTAAGTATTATGGAATGCGTGCTCACCATAGATACAGCATAGCACTTTAGTGCATCTGTGTGATCAGTGACAAGTGACAGGGACAACACCTATTTCTCTAGTGTGCCTGCCAGGCTCGCCACCACACGGCAGCAGCAGGATTGTGGGATCTGAAATACAGGGCTGGCTTCTGAATTTCAAGCGCCCTGTAATTTTCCTTGCTGACAAATGGGTATGAGATAGCCGCAGAAAAAACTCCAAACATTAGTCACACTGCTTTCTGACAAGCAACAATTACACTGAATAGGTACTCTGTCATCTTGTTCCAGTTGAATTTTCTGAAGAACTTGCTAATAAAAACGTGGTTTATGCTTACAAGCATGATATACTGCTTCAAAAAGCAAAGGAAACAATAGCTTGACTGAAGTTTAGTAGCATATTGTCAGCTGTCTGTTAAAGTTTGCTGCACATTTATTAGTTTACGTGTCAGTGTTTACATCTAGTTTTGGGCTATGACTCCCCCTCCACCAGTTTTATCTTCGTATCTATTTTCACATTAGTATGTTGCATTAAGATTCAATGCATTTTTTTGTAGACATCCAGCATGTCCAATAAGTTCAGAAATAGGAAGATTTGTCTTAACTACATTAATGTAAGCACATGTTTGAAGATAGTCAGCTATTTATATAGCTATCTAGCCTAATTAGCCTAATAAATCTTGCTAAGCCTGCCACGTGGAGAAAAGTGACGTGGTACTCCTAGGCGACTTTGGCATTTCAGAGAGGTTGTGGTCAAGTTTCTTGGACCGAAAGCATGCTCTAGCATTTACTTTAGTTAAAGATCAAAGCCCTCAGGAAATGCTGTTCTTCTGTTTTTCAATGCCCCCAAAAGTAAGAGGAGTGTGAAAACATAATTGTGGCTTATCTGAAGTATAAGTTTACTGAGTGATCTTAATATACTGTTGATTTGGTATCAATACCAGCACAGAAGTAAGATGAACTGGGTTGTAAAGCCTGTGAGGTTGAGGCAGTGCCATGAGGTGCCTACAGTTTCTTTCTAGAGATATTAAAATGCACAGTTTTTTTTCACCTGATGATAGAAGCAATAAATTTCTGAGGGAGCTGAAGATGACCTCTGTACTCATAGGCCTATTGTAGCTATTCTAGCCTACGTATGTACGGGAAGATCTGTACCTGGATTTCAGTCTAGGATTGGATGTTAGTTGACTACTGCTCAAATACGTGCTGTGAAATGTTCTTCCTGTGCTTTGGCGCAGATGCCATTTTCCCCATCGTGCCCATAAATACAGTTTGAGGATACAGTCTCACTGAGGATATTCTTCACTGCTGTCGAGATGAAGATTAAACCGAATTCAGCCTGGTTTACAATTTGCAAAAAGATGAAACGAGGCGAAGTACTAGGAGCAAGCTTATTCTCAGGCCAATCAGCTGCGGCTCAAATGAAGATGGTTTGTGAAGCAAAAAAAATCTAATCTCAAAACCTTGCTTGCCTGCTAATACATCATATGCAGCACTTCACAGAGCAATTTGATTTGGCAGCGGTTTGTTGGGTAAAGTTTCAGGTGGTAGCTACTCTGTTCTTTCCACTGCAACAAGGGGACTTGCAGGTATGACTGACCGGAGTAGGAGACTGGCACTCCAAACGCTCCAGGAAACAAGGGCTCACTTTCTGTTTATTTCTGTGACCACTTCCCGCTTACACTAGCTCTTGTGAGAATTTCAGTCTGCACCTCGACAGCGGTAGATGCCAAAGGCTTGGCTGGGGGGCTCCTATCTGTGAGGATAAACTCCGCGCTACCGGCCGTGCTGCCTTGCGCTTTGGAGGAAGCGGCAGCGCGACCTCTTCAGCAGAGCGGGCGGGCGTCTCCCGCTGACGAGACCGACATCGGACCGCTCCGGTGGGGCGGCATCTCACACAGCAGCGAACCCCCGCAGCGCTTGCCTTCCTCCCGGCCGTAAGCTGACCTCCTCCGGCTGCGGGGCAGAGCGTGGAGAAGCCGGGTGCAGCCGCGAGCGCCGCTGCGACCTCAGCCTTGTGCGCAAGGCGTGGGTCTGAACGAAGCCCGGCAGCTCCAGGGCAGCAGGCGGATCCCCCGCGCTGCGGCAGCGGACCCTCCCGGCAACGGCCGTATTTCTGAGCAAAAGCCTTTCTCAGGAAAGCAGCCCGCGGGGCTGCGGGGATCCCCTCGGCCGTCCCCTCAGCCAGCGGTACCGGGCGGCAGCGGGGAAGCCCCAAACCCGAGGAGTTAAAGAAAACCAGCTCCCGGCTGGCCAGCGCCTCC